AATTAATAGTAATAGAATAATGAAACTCATTACAAAAAGAGGAAACAAAAAGGAAAGAGTAACATAGTTTGATCAAGTTACAATACATGCATGTATGGAATAAGCACAATGAAAGCCCTTTGTACAGTTAATATACATTAAAAAGGAATAACTTCTGTAATGATTATTCTAGTTGTCATTATTTGGGGACAGTGGTGCTGAGGATAGAGTCCAGGACCTTTAATAATTTAGGCAAGCATTCTATAAGAGCGTTACAACTTCAGACCGTCATTATTAAATATACTACAACTGGCACTCTACTATGTGTTTTTACATGTTAGAATACTTGATCTCATTCACACATAAAAAACTTGATAGAGAACTTAAGCAAATTGCCCACAGTCATGTAATTAATACAGTATTTGGAACCAAATCTTTTCTGATTACAATCTCCATGATCATAAGCACAGTACTCACAGTTTCTCCTACATTGCCTCCTCTTCTGTATCAAATACAAAGACAATGATTAAGAGATAATCCTCCTTGTTACTAATACCTCCAGTTATCTGAACACTTAGTCACTTGGCAGTTGGAATTTCAGCAAAAATAGTTCCATTCAGCCTCTCTAATTTAACTGAGTCTGCTGTGGGAGTCTTTTATGCAGAAGGATCTTTTGAAAGTATCCTGAGATTCATTATTCAAAGAAGAATGAGAATGGTTTTTGTCTATGTGCATGCTGTGGTGCCTAGTTAACATTATAAAGACATCCAATATACTGCATTCAGTGCAATAGGTTAGTTTTAGTAAAACCCTTCTGAGCTATTTATGGGCAGAAATAAACACAGTGTATTTAACTTTGAAAACAGAAAGTGCTTTAGTGCTCTAAGTCTGACTCTAAACATTTTATGATGGCAAGACCAATCACCAGTCTAGTTCTCCATTATAGATATATAAAGGGATTGAGAAATGTTTCAAAATATGAAGAAAATTAGCAACTGACATTTATTGAGCCAGGAACTAGTTGTTGATGAGTTTCTTTTTATCTATTATATCAGAGTACAATCGAAGAAATTAAGATTTAGCAAGTCTAAAAGCATGCTCAGTGCCATATTGCTGCTAGTAGCTCACTGAGCAATTGGAAATCTGCACTGACTTGAATTTGAAGTTCAGTTCTTTCTTGCCATATAGTGCTTCAGTTCATAAATTTTAAATCAAAAAATTAAAACTGTGAGTAACATGGAAGTCTCTCATCTAACATTGTCACTGAGGTTTCTAGGAGCATGGTTCATTTAATTATTGTTGATAGTGGACTGAGATCTAAGGATTATGTTTTAAAAGCCAATCTGGGCAGGAAAGACCATGAGATTCTTTTCTACAAATAAATAGCAAGAAGCTAGAAAGCAAAGTATGGCTTGAGTGGTAGATTGCCAGCTTTGAGATAAAGAGCCAAATGGAGCTTGAGGCCCTGAGCTAAAGCCCCAATATTGGAACACACATACACACAATAAATGAATAAATAAAATATTACAAGTGTCTTGCTTCTTGTTGATGAAATTATAAATAAATAAAATATTACAAGGGCCTTGCTTGTTGTTGAAGAAGTTATTAATCATGACACAACACTTCAGTTTTTCTGGTGGTTAATTGGAGGTAAGAGTCTCTTGGACGTTCCTGCCCAGGTTGGCTTTGAACAGCAATTCTCAGATCTCAGCCTCATAAGTAGCTAGGATTACTGGCTAAGTGAATGGGACTTAGATTGGGTAAAGACCATTGACATACTCTCAGCAGCAAAAAATGGGACTTAGATTGGGTAAAGACCATTGATATACTCTCAGTGGCAAGAAACTATTGTGTGAGGTCATTGACAGAAGCATGGGCAGGCTCTCCTGCATATCACAGTTTGCTTGAAGCCATAGTATACTACTAGTAAACTATTCTATTGCATCTAAGTCAATAGATGGTTTTAAGATAAGTATTAACTTATGTACCATTAGGAAAAATATCTTCCAGTTAAATTATTCTGTAATGTTTTCATTACTAGAATTTTTACTTTATATTTATGGAAATAATTCTTCTGGTTTTTTCTTTTTCTCTTTCTCATCCTCTCTCTTTCTTTTCTTTCTTTCTTTCCTATCTTTCCTTCCTTCCTTTCTTTCTTCCTTCCTCCCTTGCTCCCTCTCTTCTTCCCTTTACCCCCCTCTCTCTTCTTTCTTTCTTTCTTCCTTCCTGTCGCGAGCCCTGCAGGGAGTCTATCTGCATGATAGATGGATCCTCAGATCACAAAATTCTGAGTATCTAGAATGACAGGTGTGAGCCACCAGCACCCAGCTGATGTCTTGACTGCACTGGTCACATGAGATTGGTGTAGAATTCTTCCCCGAAGCATCATATTGGCACTTATAGGTTTAGAGTCTTTGATATTTTACATCTTGACTTTTTGGGTTAGGGAATTCAATCAGTGAAAGTGAAATAATTGGGAGCACTCCTAAAACTCCTTTATATTCCAACTCAGACTCTTTGAATTACTTGGTAGGTAAAAGAAAATACTTCTTTTAAAATGTATTTTCTATGCTATTCAAGAGAGGGAAGGAATGCAGTCATAATATTCTATGCATATTTTGTAAAACTAGGAAAGTTGAAGGGAGAGGTATGGCTGGGAGGGATGAGGGAGAAGAATGAAAGAGCTGACATGGATCAAGATGTGTTATACTTACTTACAAACTGATTTGTTGAATAGCAATCCCTTTGTACAACTACTTAAAGATATAATACTAATATATTTTTAGTGATATGGTAGAATATAAGATAAATGGGAAGGAGTGGGTGCATTTGCCTGTGAGCAGAGTCGTGGAATGGAGAAACACAAGCTGAATACAAGGAAGGGTAGGCAACTCAGTAGCAGGACCATATGAGAAGTAGGCAAATGGAAATTGGTTGCCAGATTCAAGGATAAGGAATGTATAATATTAGCTGATGGATTCAAAGTAAAGGACAGAAGAGAATAAAATGCAAAATAAAATTCACTGGTGTCTGCCTTTCACAGTAGATGATTCATAGATTCAGTTGCAGAATCATTGTTGTGAAAGGAAATACAAAGAGAGGAACAAATTTTTGGTTTCAAGTATTTGAGATGCATGCAAGACAATGTTGAAATATTAATTCCAATATAGATATATGTGCTCAAAGGAGTAGTTTTGCTCTAGATGGGGTTTTGAGAGTCCTTATCAGTATAGTTGGCATGTAAACTATTAAAATGCTTGACATTCTGAAAAAGAAGTAGAAAGAAAAGCAAAAGACATACTGGGTGCTGGTGGCTCATGCCTATAATCCTAGTTACTCAGGAGACTGAGATTTAAAGATCCTGATTTGAAGTCAGCTTAAGTAAGAAAGTCCATGAGATTCCTATCTCTAATGAACCACCAAAAAGCCAGAAGTGGATCTGTGGCTCAAGTGGTAGAGTGCTATTTTTGAATGAAAAGTTAAGGGACAGTGCCAAGCTTTAGTATTAGCACATAAAGGGGACCAAAAGAAAAAAAGAACTTGAGGCACCATTTCAGATCTTTGAGTTTTATAAAATGGCTGGAATTTATTAATATAATTTCTGCTTAGAAAGTACAAATTTTACTAAGGGCTGTCACAGTTGTAATACACAGGATGGATCAATGTCTTTGCTGTGACCTCAGGTGACTTATAGTACTAAATTCACCTCCCATAGCTCCTGCAAAACCATGTATTAGTTTTTTATTCTATTTTTTTCTGTTTTCCTCTTTATTCTATTTTTATTCTATTTTTTTCCTTTTTCTCTAGTAAGAATCAAAATTCCTTTCACAAATTCTCCCTATACTCAAATCAACAAGTGTCATTTCATACCTTCACTACCAAGTTCACATGCAGGTTTTTAGGGCCCTTTTCATCCCAAATTCTTGCAATCTTCAACTGGAGCATCTGTAAGATAAACAAACCCTTCCTTGATTGCTTGTTTCTCATGAAGTCACATGAATTTTTCTTAGTTTATGAAGCCATCAATATTACAGAAATGTCCAGTGCACATAGAGCCTGCACATTCCAGTTCATTGTACAACTAAATCACCTATTCTGATGTTTGCCATTAATATCATTTGATGATATTTTCAGCCAAAATTGCTCCAAAAAAGCATTCTTTATATGAAAGTCCCCAGTGCTCATTGCAGATGGAATTGGAAAACTTGAATTAACAGTGATCACACTGCCATTTAAGCTGGAAAATGTCACTTAACTACTCCAAGCCTCAGATCCTTATTTATGAAAAGTACTTCTGTGTGATTTGAATTAGTCAGTTCATATAACATGGTTTCTTAACATTTTTTATAAAAATGTGAGTTTTATTTGACTTATGTAACTGTAAGCCCCCTGTATATGTCCTTTGCAATAATAAATAAATTGTTTCACAATGTGAGGAATTAGCACTTTTAAGATGAGTTCCATCTGTTTTTTTTCTAGATTAAATAATCAAAGGAATTGCTGTGCTTTAAAATATAATCATGAGGATTATTCTGCCTATTGATTATAGTGTTATTCTCATTAATAATGAGAGATTTTATAACATTTCTGAATGTAATATGGATTAATATTAATAAATAATAATGTTTACTGGGTGCTAACTGTTACCTATACAATTATACCTTGGGCTTTATCAGCCTTGGCAGTTAGCAGATTGCAACATGCAAAAAATGCTTCACAAATATTTGTTGAATCAATTATTTCATCTACTGTTAATATGAAGTATACCTTTTATTGTATCCTAGTATATGAACCCTAAGATAGTTAAGTCATTTTCATAAGTAGTAGATGCAAGGCTAGAATTTTATTTTTTTCTCGCTTCCTCTGGAAACTTCCTTTACTTTGGAATTTTGATCTCCAGATAATTAGAAATCTGAAGACAATAATCAAAAATTCCAACCTTCCTGCTTCCTTGACTCTGAGGTGATGACAACAGTTTTATCATGACTTTCTTTTTCTTTTCTTTTCTTTTTTTTGCACAGATTGTGTGCAGCCGACTAGAGGAGTACAACAGCCGTCAAGTTTTATGTGATGGAACTCCAGAGGGACCCATCCTTCGCAACCCTGGAAACCATGACAAATCTAAGACCCCAAGGCTCCCCTCTTCAGCCGATGTGGAATTTTGCCTCAGTTTGACACAGTATGAAACTGGCTCCATGGATAAAGCTGCCAATTTCAGCTTTAGAAACACATTGGAAGGTAATACCTTTGTTTTCCTCCTATTTCCCCCTGAACTTGGGTTCACAATCTCTTATTAAAAATTCTGAACCCAGTAGTGTTTGGGAATTCACAATTTTCTGAGCTGAGTAAGAATATACTTGAATTGACAATAACCCTACCATTTTCTGGACAGCACATCATTATCCAACACATTAATAATGATTTAGCAAGTGTGTGCTTACACCACAGGAATAGAGACAAGAGGCAGCCAATAGTGAATGGGTTACTTCCTCAAAAAGATTATTGGTACAAAGGAAAATAACTCAATTTTCAGAGCTCATTGTATTGTAAAGTTATAGATACAGGAAGGATGATGGAAGTAAGGTATTTTTGTTTTAAGTTTTAGAGGGCTTTTCGCTCTGTTTTAAAATATTATAGATAGGAGATTATTTGAGGCAAAGCTGCTTGCTTAACTATAATGTTGATACAGTTCATATATCAGTTCAAGCCCACTCCACCCTCTGCCAAGATTTCCATTCTTTGTCAGAGATTTCTTATTATAGCATTTTCTATCTGTTGTTTATTTTTATGTTTCACATTCTTGTCTGTATCTTCCCTCCCCCATCAGTTTGTTCTTCCTTGTTGATAGCAATCCCAGTCATAGTTCCATGTCAGTCACCTCAATTAGCTTCAGGGAAGCATGTCTATCAACAAACAGAACAACAACAGCAAATAACAATAGCAAAAGAGAAACACAATGTAAAAATCAAAATACTCACTCTAGACACAGTCTTAACAGGAAAAGAAATACAGGGGGCTTATAGGCAAAGCACTCATATCAAAACATTTTTTCAGGGTCTGGGAAGGTGCTTAGTGGTAGAGTGCTTGCCTTGCATGTGTGAGACCATGGGTTCGATACCTCAGAACCACATAAGCAGAAAAAGCCGGAAGTGGTGCTATGGCTCAAGTGGTAGAGTGCTAGCCTTGAGCTGAAATGCTGAGGGACAGCGCCCAGGCCCTGAGTTCAGGTCCCATGACCAGCAAAAAAAAAAAAAAAAAGAGAGAGAGAGAGAGAGATGTAAAAGTCATGTTGAAAAATGAACTTTACAACTTTGGTGTGGGGAGGTAGTGGGGAGGATTAGGTGGGGGCGGAGGATAGGAAGGGATGGGAAAGGGAAACAAAGGAGGAGTCTACGATGCTTGATAAGAAATGTACTCATTATCTTGCCCATGTAATTGTAACCCCTCTGTACATATTTTCACAATAAAAAAAACTTTTTTTCACATCAAAACTTATTGCATATCTTGGCCCCTATCCAAATCCTTTGGTACCCTATCTTTCCCACAATGGAATTCTATGCTTCCATCAGAAAGAGTGATATTGCCCCATTTGTAAATGAATAGAAAGCCTTGGAAAAATTATATTAAGTAAAGTAAGCGAGACCCAAAGAAACACAGGATATATGGTTTCCCTCATTTGTAATCATTAGAACGTGCCTATAAATCTACAAATAAACCCAATGAAAGGTAAAAGACAGAAAATTACACTTGGACATAATTAATGAAACAGCTGTCTAGCCATTTGCACACTGAGAACAAAGGATATTCTTAGGAGAGGATCACAAGGGCTCAATAGCTCTACACATACGATCATATAAAATGATGTTTACTGAAATGAACTCCAAGAAATGGAAACAAGGTTTGTTTGTTTGTTTTAATTGTACTGTTGGAATTTATTTCTTTTTTCTTTTTTTCCTTTGGTTTATTTCCTGGTATCACTCTTCTTTATTTTTGTACTCTACTCTTTTTTTTATTGTGAAAATACTGTACAGAGGGGTTACAATTACATGGGCAAGATAATGAGTACATTTCTTATCAAGCATTGTAGCCTCCTCTTTTCTTTCCCCTTCCCATTCTTTCCCATCCTCCCTACTCCCCCACCTAATCCTCCTCGGCCCTTCCCCCCACACCAGAGTTGTAAAGTTCCTTTTCCACATAGGACTTGTAGTCTCATTGTTGCAATGGGTCCACCTGTATCCCTATTTAAATGATTTGTTTTTTTCCTTCCCCTCCACAAATTATACCAATATCAAATACAGTGAAAGCAGGGGTTATACCGTTGGGGAAGGGCATACAAAGCAACAAAGAAATAATCTTATAAATGTGTTAGAAACAGTCGCAAGAAAGAAAAAAAAA